CTTCCTCTTCTCTCTCTCTCTCTCTCTCGATCAAGTTACATCGCGAAACGCACGTGAAAGCTTAAAACGGCAAGGGGATAATGAGAAAAGCGAAGAAAAGTTCGTCGTTTTTCGCGTTGAACGGCGTTCCGGATTGCGCCGATTGCGATCGGATATCGTAAATCTAAAGCATCTCGGCGCGCATTTGTATCTGGGTACTCGCCCAATTTCCTTTCACTATCTCGACCAGTTTCGTTCGCGGCGGCTATGAATATGGAGCAACGAATACGAGCGCGCCTTCAGCAAGCGAGCGAAAAATCCGCAAGTCTGCATGACATTTCAATAGGAACGCTTTTGCGATAAAAAGCACGCCTACGCACGCGACCAGCAAGGTTTCTTCGATCCACTAGATATTCGGTATTGCATAATGCGGACGTGTACAAAGGCGCACGCGCGCGTACAATTTTATAATCTAAACTACAAATTATCCTCTCCCCACACAGAGATCGATCTTTATCCATTATTAAATTATATATCTTTCCCGTAAGAGAGAAACGCATCCTCAATCACACTCATCCGCTTAAAATATCACATTTAATACTGCGCGAAGATAGAATCTTTTAAAGAAGTACATCTATATAAAGAGATTAAGAAATATTTGTATATTTAGACATAAAATAATTTTATATTTCTATATAAAATAATTTTACATTTTTATATGGTATTTTGGATAAAAATTTTTGCGATATATAAAGCTCACTATATATGAACTTGTTTTATTTGTTTTTATAATTACTAGTACATACTAAACAAAATCATAAATTTCCATTCTATAAATTCTCATAACGAATTATAGTCCGTTCAAAGGCGATAACACGAAAACTCCTCAAAGGCGCGCGGCTTTTCCGTGCACCTTTTCCTTTTTTTTTCCCCACGTCATCCGATCTCGCGATGAAGTTCGTCGTATTCGCATCGATCTCGGCAACGTTTCAGAAACGTGTGCGCGAGCAACGCAGAAATTTTCCGTACCGCTCACACGGGTCAGAGCGCCCGTGTGTTAATGATTAACCGATTGCGCGTTCTATTCTAAACTAACGCGAGGGGCCGACCCTGACCCGTGACCTATGCGCGCAACCCCCATGGACTCCGCAACGATTCGATTATCATTGGCTCGATCGCTCTGGCGAACGATCCGAACCTTTAATCCGGGCGATCGACGAAAACAAGAAACGGGGAGAAAGGGGGCTCTCTCTCTCGGGACCGAACGAAGCGCATCGAATGGGAGAGACCGGCCGGCGGTCCCGTCCACTCCGTTCAGTTCTTCCTTGGCCGATGCGGGCGTCTCTCGATGGCCGTTTCCACAGCGCGCATACCACACCGATAACCACCCGAAACTATAATTAACCACGATGCGAACGCGGCTACGCACACAGCGCCGGTGCGTTTTGACGCAAACGCGACTCATCGGAGTCATGTTCGAGGCGTAAACGCCGGGAGATGACGTTAATCAATTCGACCCTCAACTCTCTCCTCTCTCGGGCCACACGCTGCAGTTTCGTACACGCGGACTGCGCGTTCCGGCTCGCGTACAGCGAGACATTTTTACTTGTAACCGTGGAAAACATTTTCCGACCAACGCTTTTTAGCTGGGCAAAGACGCCAGACGTTGTAACAAAAAAAAAAAAAAATTTTTTTATTTTGATTTTTAATATATTCGCGTAATTTGTGAAATATATATGAATGTTTTAAAAGAAATATTCTTAGAACGTGGATCTGAAACTGAGAAGTCGTAAATTATTTTTAAATATTGCATTTTAATGATAATTCCAAGTCCTTATATTCTTCATCTCTGCATAAGTGTCGGTCCGCAATAGGTATTTAATCTTTAAGCCGTAAGAAATTGACCAATCATAGTCGATTATTTTTTTCATATTCGATTATAATTGATCAATTTCTTACGTCTTAAAGCTTAAGTCACCTATTGTGGACCGACACTAAGATAGCCTTAAAACTTTGTTTTACCGAACTATATCTACTTCATTTTAAGCGATGTTTACGCAACGGGTATAAAGGACAGACTTCCTGCCTAGTTTTTAGGAGGGACATGACGCAAACAAAAGGTCTGTTTTTTATCGCTGCATTGGAATGCGGTGTAAGATTATCTTTCTCCCTCCACCAAACTCGAAGCATATATTTATTTCATTTGAAGTACAAACGTACGCACTTGTTCGGTGCTATAAAAAAAAAAAAAAAAACAGACCTTTTGCGCTTCGCGCAACGTTGAGTCGTGAAACCCGGGTAAGCATCAGTGCCATGCACGTCGCGTTAGCCGGAAACTTCGCACCGGTTACCGCTGACATAACGCAATCACGTCAAGCGTCGACGAGCCAACGTTTCCGACGTTGCACACGCGATTCTGCCTCTGTCCTCGTGACGCGGCAGTACGGACGACAATTCTGGATCACGATAAAGCGATTACGTGCGAAACGATATCGCATCCGTTTCCGTTGAATTGCGTCCCGTTTCGATCGGGATTTATCGCCGGGTTCGAGAGACGCGAGGGGCGAACGTGGTGAAAATAGATCCGCCGGTGGGGGAGAGAGAGACGGCGACAAAGAGAAGGACGCATCGCGTTGCGTTTTCTCGAAAACTCGCCTACTTACATTTGATGAGGACAACCCCGTTGTGCAGTTCCTCCATCTCGCGGAGGCGAATGTTCCCTTGCCGATGAGTTTTACTCGCGTAATGCACACTCCCCCTCTCTTCTCTTCTCTCTCTCTCTCTCTCTCTCTCTTTCTTTCTCTCACTCTCACTTTACACCATCATCATCCTGAACATATCCGCGGAACGCGATCGCGCCAGCCACACGCGAATTCATAGCGCGCGCGCCCGCGCACACGATGCGCGCACACACACGTACACGTGCACGCACACGACACACGCACGCCCCGGATGCGCGATTATTACGCGATTTTACGAGGCGAAAAATCACATCGGGCACGTGCGCACGCGGCCGGCCGCGACCCGCACAATTAATGACCACTATCGCTGCTGCCGCCGCCGTCGCCGCCGCCGCGGCGTTCAGCGATAAGGACGAAGAGGAGGTGAACAGGACGCTCTCCGTGTCACGCTCGACGAAGAAGCGCCACGGACGAAGCGAAGCAGAGCGAGGCGAACGGGCGGGCGGGCGACCGAGCGCGAGCGAGCGAGCGAAGCGATTCAACATGGCCGCGCCGCGTGTTTCTGGCCCCGGCCCTCCGCGCGCTCGTTGCGCGTAGCCGTCGTACAACACTGACGTCGGAGGTTGGAGAAAGAGGCGAAGGGCACAGAGAGGAAACAGAGACCGAAGCGTATCCCCGGCCGTTGGGCCGGAGAGGAGAACGGCGGGGGCGAGAGGGAGGAAGGAACGCGAGAGAGCGAGCGAGCGAGCAGTCGACACGACGGAGGAGGGTACTCGAGTCGCCAAACGAGAGAGAAAGTACGAGCGACCGAGAGTGAAACGCACGAACAACAGCCACAACCGCTCGCTCTACACCACGTAGCGCAGCTGTGGACGACGGTCGAAAGAGAGAGAGAGAGAGAGAGAGAGAGAGAGAGAGAGAGAGAGAGAGAGAGAGAGAGAGAGAGAGAGAGAGAGAGAGAGAGAGAGAGAGAGAGAGAGAGGAGAGAGAGAGAGAGAGAGAGAGAGAGAGAGAGAGAGAGAGAGA